ACCTCCTCTGGTACAGTGATCCAATGATAGGAATCACTGTGCCGTGTGTCATAGGAGGCGGGACATTATTGCTTTGAACTTTTATTTTTGAAATTTACCGGTAGCTGCTGCATTTCCCACCCTAGGCTTATACTCGAGTAACTTTTCCAGATTTTTGTGGTAAAATTAGGTGCCTCGGCTTATATTTGGGTCGGCCTATACTCGAGTATATACGGTAGCTTTCATATGTATGCGGGGTGAGGAAGTTATACTTTTTTCTAATAAGATTCAAAGTATTTATTTATTCAAAATAAAAGTTCAAAGTAAAGAAAACCCTTGCTGTGGTATCTGATAGCAATTCGGTTTTTGAAAGCATCTTTCTCATGGTCCTTGGCCTTAACGGAATTCCCACCCAACAACATGGCAGGGCTGATTTTAACCCCTTATCTGAAGCAGCGGCAAACCTTTTAAAAATATATATTTTTTACAATTAAAACAAAAGAAATTGTAGGGAAAAAAACTCCCCTCAAACTATACCTGTGGCTAGAAAAATGGACTTTTGTCTCCCCAAATAATTTTCCTCTCTTTTCATTTTGAAGAAGACTGGGAAAAAAATTGAGTTAGATATCCTCCAGTTAAATTAATACAACATAATTCGCTCTTAGGCTTTGGTAAAACAGATTTAAGAACACAATGTGACTCACAATGAGAGTCCTCCGGGATTGGGGGGCCTAAAATTTTTATTAATAAATAAATAAATAAATCACGACAAACAGTAGAGCAACCTATTCATTTTTTAAGCTATCCTTTTTATAATTTACAGGCAGTGCGTGGCATCTTTGAAGAAATGAAATACTTGGAGCTCATGATTGTTAATGATTATAAAATGGTAAGTTGAGTCTATTAGTAATTTCTCTTCTTTTTCATAAAAGTTGATTGCGAAAAATGCATACATACTTAATGGTGATATAGATAATTATACTTTTGAATAAAGAATTAAGGAATGTGCAACAGGAAATTCTTGGAATAAGACTACATTATGGGTATCAAAACAGCCAGGCTTGTATTACTTGATGCCTCCACATCAGGTGTTATTTCCAGAAGCACATCTAGTTGATTCATTTTGGTCCATTTATTTGTCTTTCTCAAGGCTTAGTTCAACATTGCATCTGTCATGCAATTAAAATTATGTGAGGGGGCCAGAAAGACCACAGTCATCTTCTTTGCCTTCTCTATCTTATCCTACACGAACTGTCCATATCTCTGAGGGTTTCAAGAACTCAAAATGAGTATACTCTTCATGCAAGGGCCAGCCCTACTGATAATCAGGGTGATACCTCATGGGAAACCAATGCATATAGCAGAGATTCCCTGTCTTAATAGCTACTTCTCAAATGTCTCAAAATGCTGATATGAAGGCAGTGCTGAGTTGAGGTAATCTAAGATATGAATCAGGAAGTGCCTGATTACATTTTGTTTGCCAATTATTGTAGGCAAGAAACCTCATTTTCAGCCTCAGATTTCCATCTGCAATAGGGTAATAATAATCTTGATTGAAAAATTCTGTCAGGATTGTTGCAATTTATTTCTATGAGGTCAAAAATTTGATGATATTTCTATATGATGTTGGAAATTGATCATGTTTGCTTATAATCTGAGAGAGTACAATGTTTGGAGAGATCTGTTCTGGACTTTTTTTCACCCTATTGTCCAAAGATTAATAAAGTATATTTCCAGATAAGGAACCATTCTTTTCATTTGTTGTGTTCCAATGATTTTGCATTGTTTAGATCAGAGGTGTCAAACTCACAGGCTGGATGCATCACACACTGACCATGCCCACCCCCATTTTAGCAGGGGGGGGAGTTGTCATGATGTCATATGACGAGGTGTTATTACAAGTTTGATACCCCTGGTTTAGATAGTCAAGGAGTCAAGACTTACCCAAAGGCACTATATATAAATAAGCTGATAATAAGTAATTAATGTTAACAGACTTCATTTATAAGAAGAGTTTATTTATTTTTGTGAATAAAACTTTAATAGAAACTTTCTGCTCGCTACCCAGATATCTAGTTTTCTTTCTCTGATTGCAAATTTAAGACAACTAAGTACAGTCTTCTTCACCGAACATTATGTACTTGAAATAAAAAAAATGCATCGAGTTATGTGCCACAGAAGGCTAGCAATCAATCATTTGAATTATAAGGGAAAGTTATTGCAAATCCATGCTTTATGCTATTGTTTGTGTAATTGACCTTTATCAATACAATGCAAAAATGTTCAAAGAGAAATATTAGTGGGGTTGCTTCTTTTTTTTTGGCTTTGCCAGGAAGCAAGAAGTATAATCAATGTTTCGATTGGATTATGACTTAACATTTTTCTTCTAGTTCAAAAAACATCGGTCATCCCATAGTAATACGAATAACTTTGCGAAATCGGTGGTAAATCTCGTGGACGCTGTAAGTATTGCCATAGTCAATAAAATTAATAATACTGTATTCAATTCAGTAGGGAATGATAAACTGAAAAGGCAACCATTTGTCCCATAATTCTTTTTATATTAAGAACAAAAACTGATTTACCGTATATACTCAAGTATAAGCCGAGTTTTTCAGCCCACTTTTTGGGCTGAAAAAAGCCGCCTCGGCTTA